TGTGATTCGTTCTCTCACTCTCGAGGAGGAACCAGAGCGCAAGCCTCAACGCAGGACACGGCCCAACCCGAGGAGGCATGACGGTGAGTTTCTGTCTAATGTCTTCATGCTCAGATATTTTACGGGGCTTCTATTATTTTGTTAATATTACTTTTAATTATTTTGCAGCTCATGACCCTGCTCGCTTTCAAGAGAGATTATTACAGGTGAAGAATGACAGACCTTTGCCAATCAGGCCTGAGGCTCCAGCCCCTGTGCCAAAGCCAGTCATAACAGTGGAATCGGTCATGCCAGGTGTGCATGTGCTCTATGTTTTGTATGTCGCTGTTGTTTAAACGGGTATACTTTGGGCTTGCTAAAAAGAAACGTGATTTTTCTGCTAGAACTGTACCTTCTTTCAATTCAGACTTGGTTATTTCTGCAGTCTTTTCAGAGGCATTGATTGGCTCGAATGAAAACCTCTACACCGACCCAGCTGCACAGGAGGAGAATGAAGAGGAAGTGGAACAAAAGGGACATGAAACCGATCAAGAAAAAGAGGAAGAAGCAGGAGAGTGGGATGAGGTGAGCAGCCAGGTGTCTTCTGCCTCATCTGAGGACTACATTGTCATCCTGCCTGACTGCTTCGATACTTCCAGGCCACTGGGAGACTCAATGTATAGCTCAGCAATGTCCCAGCCTGCTGTCCCTTTTGCCAACGAGCCGGAAACACAGCAAATCCAGAGCATGGCTGAAGGAGAGAATGAGGAGCCCACCCCTGTTCCAGTACTTCAAAACACCCTAAATAGGATGCTGTGCACCTCTCAGATGTTGGACACCCCCCCTCTGATTCCAGAGATGGTACCTCCGTCCATAGCTCTCCCGCCACCCCCATCTCTTCGAACCCACAGGTTAAAGAACATCCAGAGAACCTGCTAATTCTTTTTTTGACTAATTATGCATGGACTTTCATTCGTTTTAATCACTTTATGATTCTTTTGCAGATCAGCGAGGTCTCATGATCTTGAATCAGGACCAGGGGCCTCTAAAGAGAACGCATCATGCCAATCTGAGGATGGGTCAAGTGGTGAGTTTTCTCATATGCTGGACTCTGTAGCAGTCGTGATTTTATGCACAAGAATACACACACACACACACACACATATACACTAATGTGCACAAGAACACACACAAACAAATAAATAAAAAGATAAATTAATAAATACAAACATACTGTACTACTATTATCATTACTTTGAAATTAGTGTCAAACATTTTAGTTTAAAAGTGTGAGGTGTGAAGAATTAACCAAGAAAAACTAGTTAGACTGTATTTGTTGTTAAATATTCTATTTTGGCATCACATAGCGTTGAAATAATTACAGGTTTCAGGATTAATTTTCTTATATGCACAAAAATAATAAACTTAATAAAAAAATATTTAAAAAACCATACTATAACCAACACCCCATCCTTGCCTGTTAATATACAATCCAGTGACATTAATACACAGCTCTTAAGTAAGCCTACAATACATTGCATTAAAGAATAACAGTCCTATTGAGGTAACAGATGAAAGGGACCCAAATCTTGTGAAATTGTCCTTTGTTGTCTAGTTCGTTCCAGGTGTAGAGTAGACTGTATTTGTTCTTAAACTAGTTTATAGCTTTGAGGAAAAAAGTGTCACAGAATTGTATGTTGTTTATTTGCCCTAGGTTGCAGATCAGCTCATTCAGAGGCCCCTGTTAGTGCCTTTGAGACCTGCGGCTCCCAGGAACTCAGGTATAACAACATTACAGGCATATGAGTTATTGTAGTATACATATATTTCAGGATTTTTTTTAATTCCACCTTTTGCTAAAGCTGAAACTTTGAATGCAGCAGAAGAGGAAGTAGCTCTGCAGTCTGTTTTCCTGTGGTCGACCACTTTTGACAACATGCCTATGCTAAATAGTTTGCTTATTTAAAAGAATGAATCATGGTGGCTTTCTTTTTTTTGGAGTGCTTTTCTCATAGTGTTGTTTTATGAATGGTAATCTCTGGAGTCAACAGGACTATTATGACACGACCTTCTGTTCCTGTTTTTGTTCTTCTGCAGGGCACGTCACGGTGGTCTGACAGAGGGGCTGGTGAAGGGAGCTCTCTCTGTGGCTGCCTCTGCTTATAAAGCACTCTTTACAGGCCAGAGCACACCGGCACAGGTGTTCGTTTTTTCCTCATCGGTGCACGACACTCCAGAACAGAACATAAACAGCCACCATATTGTGACTTCTCTTTACAATACCATTTAAAAATTTGGGGTCGTAATATGTCTTATGCTCTGATGCTCACCAATATGGGGCCCCTAAAAGGAAGTGGTGATGTAATAAAAGATGTCAATGCTTTCGTATTCTCTTGCAAAACTTTTGCGTGCTAGTCGCTCTTCCCGTAACAATGCAGTGAAACACGCAACTAAACCCAAAAAACCACAACGTTTTATTACAATTGTCTTTTCTTTTTAACATGAAGAGAATACAATAGTCTAAAATGTTATGTATATGTATAGTTAGCCTATTAATGTTGTGCATTGTTTGAGTTGCAGGCGCTCAAGCTAAAGATGATCACAGTCACACTTTTCTAGCGTGTTAATTCTTAACCAAATGTATCCTATATGGGAGAAATCAGAAGTATATTACACAGAATAAACATATTACAATTGCACGAAACAAAAGGTTGTGAATGCACAATCAAACTATATATATATATATATATATATACTTATAACTTAACTTACTTTCTGTAACAACGTGCTAAAACAAAGTCATTTTATATAGCCTATATGACACACTTGCGCTGCAACTGTTGCACTTAACTATATTTTCCTTTTCGAAGTGATTTCAAATATATTTCAATTCAAAACCATCATGGCGAACAGTATGCATCTGAAGTGTCTCAGCTGAAGGAAATAATCTATTATTTATCAGTTTAAATATATCAGGCAAATTTTCGTATCTAGACGATAACAATATCATAAGAAAATGACATCCCTATTACAAATAAGTTTGTCACTTTTGATTAATTTAATGGATCCTTGCTCTATAAAAGTCTTAATTTCTTTAAAACAAAAAAAAAAACAACAAATCTTACAAACCCCAAACTTTTGAACACTAGTGCACTATTTCTAGAAAGTTGTAGCATGCATTGTGTACTTCATTGTGGCCTTTTTGCATTCTTTGTTATCTGTGAACTCAGGATTTGACATGTGAGTGACCTTTAAAAATACTAACTTTGGTTTGGTTCTCTTTCAGCGGCCAGTGGTTGACCCCGCCTGCGAGGATGCCTCCATGATGGCTGTTTTACAGGAGATGGGTTTCAGTAACCAGCCGCTCAATCAGAGGTTGCTGAGGAAGCATCACTACAGTTTGCTTGATGTGGTCAACGAGCTGGTACAGTTGACCGACAGCGAATGGCACATCTCAAGACACTAGGAAGCACCGTGGCAACCTCAGTGAAGTATAGGAATTGTAAATGATTTCATCGTGTTGCAGTAATGAAATGCCTCTGATGTTCTTATCTTAGAGAAATAGTTTGGACTCTCGCAACAAGAGAACTATATCACTATAACAGACCATAGCTGCAATGATGCAATTACTTGATTGTAAAATTTTAGTTTCATGTTTGTAGGACATTATGAATAGAGAAACAACATAAGGTTTATAAAGAAGTCTCAATGCTATCTTTATTCAGTGTGTGTGCCCTACTAACACATATAGACTGCTGTTAGGTAGGCTTCAGGTATCTTTTGTACTGCTTGATTAGATGAGACTAATTACCTAGGGGGTTTCCATTTGTTTGAGGACTTTTGCCTCTCAGAGGAAAGAAAAGCTTGTGTTGATTTAGTTATTTGTCACAGTGACCTCTATATTTGTATATCTTATTTTAAATCACACTAATTCATGTCACACTAAGGTGTTGGGCTGCCTGACATATAGGAATGTGCAATGAGTTTTTCAGTCATGCTTAACTCAACCAGTGATTGATTGGTCAAAGTTTTTGCTAGGCACCAATTTTGGTCATCTTTGTCATTTTCATGTGCAATGTATTACTGTGAACTGAAGGCTTATCAACATGGCTTTTTGTGTCCAGCACAGTGAATAAAAAAAAACATTCCATTATAGTTATCAGTGAGTATTATTTGCATTTTATAATCATGAATCTTCTCGCTATTGTTCAAATCACACCAATCAGCAAAAGTACGTTTAGTTAATGTACACACATCTGAATTGCTGAAACTGTGGAATGTTCTAAAGGTTAAAATAGTTATCGCTTTAGTCAGCTTCCTCCTTCAAGGCAGGAACTGAGTACAGTTTCCCCAGTCTCTATGTTTTGTATCTTTATTTTAACATATTAACAACATACATCTCTTGTCATCTCTTCTAATACATCTCTTCTCAACACAGTGTGTGTAATGTTTCCAAGATGTAATGTTGTGAGATCTCTTGGTATTAAATATCAGAAATGTAATATGTTCCAAAATAGGGAATATCTTTGGACAACTCCAGAATACATGAAGATGGTCAAAAACGAAATGCCTATATTCCAGTATAGTTATTTTGTGGATAATCAGGAAGTGTATTACAAACAAATAACTATTCTTCATTTGCAATTTCTTCCCATAAAAATATTTGCCATTTTGGTTTAATGTATTTAGATGTTTTTTTTTCTTGATTCTCCATCATGTCCCGATAGAGAGAAGAGATTAATCTGGGATTAGTAAATTATCAATTATTCAGAATCGTACCTTTTTTTTTTTTTTACTTTTTTTTACCCCCTTTCAAATTTTCACTTTTCTTTTATACATTTTAAAAGTATATATTTTTTCTTGGTTAACCACTAAAAACTTGAGACACTAATTCCAAAATGATATTAATAATTCCCAAATATATAATTTATAATCAACCGCAGACTTTAAACACGCAGTATCGATTATGACCACCAGATGGCGACAACAAACATCTGTGAAGGACTAAAGGGGGAAGTCGCTGCGCACTCGAAAGTTCATTGCGTCTTCTTGTAAACTCGCGTGTGGTGTCTTCAAAAACCTCAAGCAACGAATTATATTTATATGCGGGGAAAGATTCTATCTCGATATCACACCATGCTCAGATGAATTAACGGTAGGTGGAAAAGTGCTGTGTGAAGATTTGGCAATAAACGCATTTAGTAGCCTAATTTGTTATTGTTATGACACGACTAAGTTAGATCTGTCATGATGTCAGTTTATGAAGGAAACTGATATAAATGTTACCAGTCTTTTGTGACTTTAAACACTCATGTCTCATCTCTGGTGCGACATTGTTAGGTTGTTTGTGTGCTGTATTTTTCTTAAAATACGGTTAACTTTACACATTACAGCTGTGTTCAGAAAAGTTGCCTAAGTTAGGCACGTTCAGACTTGGAATCGATGGTTACAAAATGCTGTCTAGTTAGGCAAGGCAGCTCATAGGTTTAGTAGTCATAATTTGATATTTGCATTATAAGATAGCAAACTCTAAATACATTTCACATTTGCATTTACGCCACAAAACATTTCAACTGGAAACGATAGGCATAAATTTGGTTTCTTTTTCCTAAACTCGAAAGTTGTCAGTGTGATCATCAACATCTTGAACAATCACAATAGTTACTCTCTCTGTAACGTAATTTGCGTTGTGACCTCTATCATGCCACTTTACGTTCTTTAATTCAAAGTTAGTTGATGTAAAGATGTAAATGAGAGAATAATAAATAGTGAGAATAAATATTAAAGTATATGAAAATCTAAAGAATTATACACCTATGTAGTATGTATATTTAAATATATTTTCTTCAAAGGTCACGTAAACTGTCGTTTAAGGTCTTTAATTAAATGGAAGTTTGTTATATAATGCTCTTTGACATCTTTGCAGTTTTATTGTTGTGGAGCTTTGTTGATCATTTTGTGATATTTTACTGTTTTACAGTTTGGGTTGTTACTGTAATGTATAACTAGAACCGTACAATCAATCACATGTCACCCTAAAAAATATATATAAAAAAGTTTGCTTATTGATTTCCTCATCAATGATGTACCTACCAACAGACAAACCTTACTGAAGCTGTCCTATTGTTTAGGGTGGAGGTCTTTAGTTTTGACCTGTCATCTTCTGGAAATACAGCATTATGTCCCAGAATAAACATGGAGAGAAACGAAGGTTTTCCAAATGGTTGGACTATGGCAGTGTAAATGGGGAAGGACAGTCAGATCCATGCCCTACCTGCCAGGGCACAGGACGCATCCCGAGAGGCAGGTTTCAGTGTATTTTCTTATTAGTTGGTTACAAATAAAGTTTATTTAGCAGTTTGGCTCTTAAACACCCTTATTCTGTCTGCATGATCTTGGCTCTTGACATCTCCAGGTCAGGAGAACCAACTTGTGGCAGTCATTCCTTGCAGCGACCAAAGGCTGAAACCTCACCACACGTCAGTATCACTATGACAAGAAGCCTATAGTTCTGCAATTTTCTCTTTCAGGGATTACTAAAATGTGCTTATCATGTTAATATTCTCAAATTTATGAACTACACGGTTTAATGTCCCACAGGAAACTCTATGTGTCTATAGCAGTGGGGCTATGCCTCCTGACCTGCTCACTGATCCTGTTTTTCCTCTTCCCACGGAGTATGGATATGTCAGCTGTGGAACTTGAGTCATCTATGGTCTATTTCACTCCAGATAAAGTTATAATAGTGCTCACAGTAGGTGATCTGACTAATATAGACGACACCCTAAGATTCAACTGTTGCAATGCAATTTTTTTTTACAAAGCTTGTTATCTTATCTATGTTTTCCATTCTTCAGCACGAAATGAACCTCACCAACCAAAACTTTGTCGGAATCACCGCTGACAATCTTAGTGTGCAAGCATTGATTTTTGAGACTGTGGTTGGTAATACCAAGTTGCTCAATGTCACCAACCTTCCTCCTCGATCACAGAAAACGGTAAAACTTATTTAAGAAAATTGTAATATAAAGCATTTTTCCAATTTAAATGTTCTCAAATGCATTGTACTAGGCATCAGAAACCTGGGAAGAAAATTATGAATAAGTCTAAAAACAAAAACACTTTCTTTAAATCCTCCATTGATCCTATTGGAATTTCATTGATCTTTCTTTCATCTTTCAGATTAAAGTTATAGCCAACATTGTAATTGATGACCAAGGCCTCAAGTAAGTAATTCAATCAGTATCTAAACTTCACTAATAATGTCTTTAATTGTTGTGTTTATGACTGTTTTCAAATACAACAAAATATATCTAGAAACATTCTCTAATGTCTGTTTCTTTTACAGTAATTATTGCAAGTCACATGCCTTTCAGATCCACACTTTATTCGTGCATTTGCAGTAAGTATACATTTCTACGCAAATATGCATTTCTATTAGCATATTGTTCGACTGAATCATTGAATGATAGTTGCCATCTTTGGTTGATGTTTTGAAGGCTTGGATTTGGAAGGTGCGCATTGAGGGATTATTAATAACTGGTATACCTTTTAAATGTTTAAAACTTTTGCTGACTGTCAGTGATGTGACCTTTATAGTCTTGTTAAAATCTTATAGGTTATAAAGTGCATGACCTATAAAAAAAAAACACCTATACTAAAATATATTTACAGTACTGTTCAAAAGTTTGTCGTCTACTGCTTACCAAGGCTGCATTGACTTCAGTCACATTATCCTTCAGAAATAATTTTAAAATGTTTATTTTGTGCATGTAACAAATTATCATCAATGTTGAAAACAGTCGTTTAATATTTTTGCAGAAATTAAATTTCTTGCACCATACAGTGATAACTGGAATAAGCACATTTTATCTTTAACTTTATCTTAATATGTCACATGCCAATGTTTGGTTGTATAAATTCACTTCAGTTCATATTTATTAATTCATGTAAAATCCCGTGTGTTGTCTACAGATTGAATATCAAAGTCTCCTACCTGTCTCATTCAGAGGAGGTGTCTACAGATGCCTTTGAGTATATTGACTGTGGTGTGAATTCCACTATGCCTCGTCACTACCCTCCACGAGACTAAACCATTGCCAATGAATGGCCATGAATGCTGATGTAATAGAAATCAAAGTAGGCTGCTTTAAAAAGGATTACTATTTTATGCCATAATTTACTACAGTCCATTTAAATAGGAGTAGACTATGATGACAGTAATGTATGCTGCAATACAAGTATCACTGGAATAATTAATGAATGTGTTCTGTTAACTTAGACACTCTTCTTTCCTGTTGATTTGTTAGTATGCACATGAACACGTTTTAAAATTTGCACACCACAATTTTGCACATTAAATAGAAATTTTTGAATTTTTGAGCAAATTCTGCAAAAAATCTAATCAGAACTGTTAAATACCCAATTCTGTTTTTATTAGGATTATGAAAGAACACTTGAAGTCTGGTTTCCTGTAAAATACATATAGTACATAATATGTGGAGTTGGTGCTGTCCAGTAGTCTTGTCTTCATCTTCACCATTGCTGGGAATATTGGAGGGACTAGAGCAAATCAAGCACACGTCTTATGTAGATGCGTCTTTATTCTTCCTTATAAGTTCTTTAAATAATCGCTGTGGTATACACAGGGCCTGGATGCACAAATTGTCTATACTTAATGTAAAGTTTAAATGTTTTAAAGAGATAATGTCCAACCCCTGGATCTGTTAAATGTTACAGTTACAGAAACAGGTTAAGCAAGTTTGTGATCTCTCTAAAAGAAATGTACTCACTGTGTATCTTTTCATCTTGGCATGACACTTGCAGCCACATTGCTTGTCAACCTCTGAAGAAAACAAATGTTTACACGGACTGAGTGAAGATTTCATGTATGTTGTATGTTGTTAATTTGGTATTTTTGATCATTAAAATATAATTCAGTCACATCTAAAGCAGCGACTGTTTGTTCGTAATGGCATGCCAAAACACGGGAGAATTCTTGAGTGTACTGAATGTTTGTTGACCTGTTATTATGAGCAGCTTTACCTGGATACTCACTGGACGCTGCAGGTTCACATGGTGTCATATGTGCCTCAGAATGCTCTTTGTTTTTACCTTGCTTGTCTTCCTAAAATAATAAATAAAATCGTATTATTTACATGTCATATTTAACCTATTTATAAAAAAGGTTATATTACATGTTGTTAACATGGGGACCTGCTTAACTGAGGCAGATAACCTGCGATTCAGCACTTGCTGACGGCGGCGGGCCTCCCAGTGCATTGCTGACATGTTAGGCTACACCACAAGCTTGCCTGCAACGTGAGACCATTTCCTGATTAATGAAATTCAAAACCACACGGTGAGATGTTTCCTTTGTCATGACACACTCATAAAGAAATAAACACTGAACTGATTTTTTGCTGCTCATAAATGTTGAAAGTACAGGACAAAGCTGAGTTAGCAGCGTCCGTAATGAGCTTATAAAAACTAAACAATTCGTACTGTGACAACTTAGTCAAAGCCGTTGTAGACTTGTGGCGTAACATTTAACGTTAGTCCTGACTCCTGCGCAAGTCCGATACCGTTACATATGTCTAAAATAGGAAAGCAAAAACATGTAAAAGTATGTCTTAGTTTAAGACAAACAACACTAATAATAATAAGTAGACTCTTAACAAACCAATAAGAAAAGCACATTTTCAGAGCAGTGGACAACATTTACCAAGTTTTGATGTTCTACAGATATGTCAAAATCCACAGCGGACAATCCCACGTCCTCCCTGGACAGCTTAATGTTTCCTAGCAACGCTCAGCAATCGCTACGTACTGACGCCACACAGGTCGATTGTAGCGCGTTGTGGCAAATTAATTGTTTATTTATTATTATTTTTTTTTTTAGAAAACACTAAAACAATAAAAAAAATCTTTACGAGTTACAGCGAAGTTAGCTATTAAATATTTTAAACAAAACACTTACTACTTTTTACGTATATTTAGGGGCTATATGAGTCCATTTGTAGACGTAGGTAGGCTACTCTCTGATAAAGACAGCTGTTCGCTAGCGCATTGTGATTAATTTATATCGAATAACCATTTTCTTCTTCATTTAGGGAGAACTCTTTATAATTCGCACACATGATGAACTGCCAACCGATACAAGATCTACTACTTGGTAGTTTCGATGCCTTAGGCTCTCCACAGTGAGGTGCTGTTTATAACAACACGGCTGGGCTGTCATTCGATAACTCACGTTGAAGACTCAGAACAATCAAACGCTAGAGGGAGTCGCGAGAGGAATGAGGCGCTCGCGTGACGTCACATGCGGGGATTGTTGTTCTGGATCTTGTGCGCTCGGCTCCACTTTCATCTCAGAGGTCGCTGCTATCGGAGGGCATAGAGACTCTGGAAAAGGAGCATTGTTTTGAGTCGTTTGGAGAACTGGTCGCCTATGGTTTCAAAATGAGAAATGGAAAAGCTGCCTGTTTCAAGATAGACATCTATTAGGTAAGTGGTGTGAATGTTGACAAAGATGAAATAGCATCGTTCACAAGCCAGGTTTTCGTTCTCTCTACACTGCGGTTTTCGTTCTCAAGTAACGTTATCTGCTGAATTTGCTCGACAAAGATGTTTTTGATTTTAGTCTGTAATCTTTATAAGGCTTTTTAAAGTTGTTTCGAATAGTTTTTTATAATTTAAACTATCTAGCTTTCGTACCTTTTACAGTACTTAGACGTTGCCAATGCCTACCCATAATTTCTATTTGAACTATGTGCGTGAATGTAATAATATTAATTTACAGCTGTTTACATGAAATTAAAATATGTGTTTTTTATTTTTAGAAATCTATTTCTGTATAGACTTAAGAGGATTAGAAGTGGCAAGCATTAAGAGCAACCTCTAGATCGGTCTTTAACGTTACAATTAACTTATTTGTGTTCTTTTTTGTTGTTGTGGATGATATTGACACTAAAGAGTTTTACTATGAGCTATTGTGCCAAAGTCTTTTTCTAGTTTAATTAAATATTTTTCTTTATAGAATAGAACCAAATCCTTTTTCATTACTTGAACATTTTATTTAGTAGCTGCTAAAACCTTGCAGCTGGTTTACTGTGTTTGCTTGAAGGCAAATCTGGAGAAGTTGTAAATAACTTCCATATCGGTGATGATAATCAGCTTTTGTTTCTCCTTTAATTAGGTTCCACGCGGTGCCGTCGATCTTACAAGCACGTCTGTCTGTCTGCAGTACCTTTGAAGTAGGTGCAAATGCCAAACACTTAGACAAATCTGCTTCTCCTTACAAGAGGGTGAGAAAACCAAGTTGCCATGGGAAACCAATTGACAGAGATTGCCCCCAACACACCGTTTCTGCCTAACTTCCAGTCCCTCCACGTTGTGGTCATTGGTTTGGACTCTGCGGGCAAAACCTCTCTTCTATACAGACTGAAGCTGAAGGAGTTTGTTGAAACTATCCCAACCAAGGGATTTAACACTGAGAAGATTAAAGTTCCGGTCGGAAATGGGCGTGCCATTACCTTTCAGGTGTGGGACGTGGGTGGTCAGGAGAAGCTTCGACCTTTGTGGAAGTCCTACACGCGACGCACAGACGGCATGGTATTTGTGGTAGACTCCACGGAGGCAGAGCGCATGGAGGAGGCTAAGGTGGAGTTGCATAAGATTACACGTACGTCAGAGAACCAAGGAGTTCCTGTGCTGGTGTTGGCTAACAAACAGGACCTTCCAGTTGCACTGCCTGTTTCTGACGTGGAGAAGGTTTTGGCAGTACACGAGCTGAGTGCCTCCACCCTACACCACGTTCAAGGGTGCAGTGCGGTCGACGGGCAGGGGTTGCAGCTCGGTTTGGAAAAACTATATGATATGATCCTCAAACGAAAGAAAATGGTTAAGCACAGCAAGAAAAAAAGATGAGCTGAATGGGACTTATTCAACTTGCGAAGCTCATCGGTGAACCCTGACTTGTCGTAAGATTTTGGGAATCCCTTTATGAAGGAAATGCTCCAGATGCCCCAGTGGCCAGGAGAAAACAGATTTGACCTTTATGTGTCAGACAGTATTGAAGTTGAACTGCTTTCTTCCATGCCGAGTCATTGCTGTGCAGCTCCCCTTTGTAATGAAGGAATATGTGATAGCAATGATAGGCTGTAGTATCAGCAGAATTTAAGCCCACATCCTTGCCTTTTTTATTTATTTTTTTCCCAAGCAAGAAAGAGACTGAATCATAGCTTGGCAATATATTGACTTTTCACAAGGCATCCTTTTTTCACATACGTTAAGTTGATTGCCAGTGCCGATATAATAAAAGGCCCTATACATGTTCACGCTATGTTAGTTGTGAAACTGAAGTCCTAAGCGAATCGCTGAGATTCACTATTCACAGATCTACATTTAAGTTGGAAAACCTGTTTGTTTTTACATGCTGTATATAGTTTTTGTAATGCTGTAGAATTAATAAATTATAGATGGCTTTGATATAGTCTCAGAAGCCATATCTTTTATTCCTGAGGCTGCAGTATTTGCTGAAATAAAGGATAATTTTTGTTATAATTTATTATTAAATCATGTATTATTCTATTATTAGATAGATATACAAGGTTTTAATTCACTGTGATGAAAATGAAAACTGCCCCTATTAAAGTATTAATAGAGCAGGCACTCTTGATGATGTCATCTCTGTTCAGGGAGGATGTCCCAAAGGAAATGCATTGATACTGAAAGAACATTGATGTAACCACAGAGTCAAATTCAGAAACTGAGCCTAGAAATGGGCGGAAACAATGTTATATCACATTTGCTGACACTATATACAAAAAAACTATTTATTAAACAACCAATGTAAGATATATGTTGATACAAAGGCATACAAAATGGAGAGTGACAGGTTTCATGCTGCAGCGCCTTTACTCTTCTACTCTTATTTTGAGGATGGAATTGTCTTAAGAGAGCAAATGGTTTTTAGATGTCCCGACCCCCAACATTGCACTGACAGAAACATCTATTGACTTTGCCATGGAGTTCCCAGTAAAGCAGCTGCTTTCCTCTGATTGGATTAATTGATGCTCTGGGTTAATGGTGAGAAGACTGAAGCAGGGATGATTTACAAGATGGGCTGAGAGATCAGTAAATGTGATAACGTAGTAAGACTTCTGGGCCTGTGACCCGATGATATGTGACTTGCCAGTTTGATAATGTTATTTAAAGTTAATGTTATATTTCAGTAATAGTACCTACTTTATCCAAACAATGGACAAAAATAGATTAAAATTCATCTGTCAATGTCCAATGAGCATCTGCTGTGCTGAAAGGGGCACGACCAAGGGAAATGTTAAAGATTTTATTGATCTCTGTGGTCATCCTGCCTCCACCTCAGAAAAAGATGCTTGTCAGTGTTTCTGATCCATGACCCCTGGGCTGGCTGTTAATACACAGTATCACACAGGTTGAGCTCTGAAGATGAAGACAAATGTCATTACAGTCTTGGTATCAGTGGCATTTGACCTAACTGGTTCTCTCAGTGTTATCTTAAGAATGAGGCCAGTCATCCTGCTGAGCTGGTTAATTAAGAGCACTGTCCTGAAGTAATCCTCTCCAACAAGACGGATTTACTAAAGCAAATGTTTGTCTAAATATTTTACTACAATGAAGTGGATTTAAAAAAAAAGTTATTTTTAGTCTTAGAAGATGTCATTAAAAAGCATTTTTAAAAGGGGAAAGTGTTATGTAACAAAGAGCTGTTTCAAACCATTCTAAATTGTTCATGTCCCCTCAGGTCAGCCATGCATGATGTCACATGGTGAGATCAGCTGTCATTAATGCACTAGTACACCACTAAACGAGCCCTGTGGAGTATTTCCATGCTCATGCTTCCAGCCTCACCCGAATACCCAGACAGCAACATAGTGTCGGCCCAGATCCGGCCCACACCTTGACACAT